TTCTTTCAGATTTTTTTTTTTTTATTTTTGATTTTCTGTAGTGTGACAACGATATACCTAGTTGTAATTTCTTTTGGCATTTATCCTGATTGGTGTCCTCTGAGCTTCTTGGATCTGCGGTTTGGTGTCTGATACTAGTTTGGGAAAATGTTTAGTCATTATTGCTTCAAATATTTATTTCCCTGTCTTTTTCTTCTCTTTCTGGCATTCTTGTTATGCATATGTTACATCTTTTATGGCTGTCTTATAATCGTTATTCTGTGTATTTTGTTCCAAACTTTTTTCTTTTTGTTTTTCAAATTTTATAAGTTTCTAGTGAGATATCCTCAAGCTCAGATTCTTTTCTTAGCCATGTTTCCTAATAAACAATCAAAGGCCTTCTTCATTTCTGCTGCAGTGTTTTTTTACTTCTGTCATTTCTTTTTGTTTTTTTCTTTGGATTTTCTTCTCTCTGCTTTACTTTTTTCATCTGTTGTTACATGCTGTCTACTTTATCCACTAGAATCCTTAGCATCTTAACCATAATTGTCTTAAATTCTTGGTCTGTTAATTCTAACATAATTCTAGTATGTCTTTTGTTTCTTTAAACTTTTTGAGAACCAGACGTGATTTACTGAGGAAAAGGAACTATTACCAATAGGCCTTAAGTAATGTGGTAGTAAGATGTGGGAGATGGGGAAGCAGTCTGTAGTGCTATGATTAGGTCTCAGTCTTTTGGTAATCTTGTACCTTTAGGTTGTGAACTTCACAAATGTTTACCAATACCATCAATACCATCAATCCCCCACCTCTTAAATATGTAAGGATGGGTAGAGTGAATTGGAGTTTGATATTTCACTTCTCCAGATCAGAAAAGCTCTGATAAAACCCCAACAAATTAGGCTCTGATTAATTACTTTATCTAAGGGAATATCATATTAAGAAGAACAGGGTGACTTGTATTCAAAATGGTTCCTTTACCCCTTTTACCTGATGGAAACCCAAAGGGATTTTTCTCTGGATATTCATGGTGAGAACCTAGTAGAGCTCCAAGAGGTAAAAATCAACTCAAGTATGGAACCATTCAATTATTAGTCTTCTTGGCGTTTTTAATTCTCAGTGTTGTCCACATTGAGCCTCCAGTAATTCATCTGATAGTTTGGTTTTCTTATTCTGGCACTGGTTTTCATGGAAATTTCTGCTCCTGTAAGTTTTGATTCTCTGTACTCACCCATAGGTCTCTCCAATTTTGAGGGCAGTGGTTTGTCCTGTGATTTTATTTTTCTGACAGATTTAAGAAGAGGTGTTAATTTTTCCATTTGCTCAGTGTTTTACTTGTTGTTAGGACGGAGCAACAACTTCAAACCTTCTGTCATACTGGACTGAAAATCAAGTCAATAAGTCACATGTTAACCTTTTTTTAAATCTTGCCTATTTATAAAGTGTGAGTATTTAAAGGGTTTTTATTCACAATTAGTAAATAGTCTGTTGCTGTCTGACCAAATTTAAGTACCTCTCCTCTCTTAGGCAATAAAATACCCATTCTTCTGTATAAAAAGGGCAAGTTAAGAGATTGTAGTTACATTCGTTACATCCAAATGCTAAATGTACATTTCTTAATACCTTGGTTACTTATAAAATATTTTGCTATGCATCATGATATTCCCAATATAAGAATAAATTAGCTTCTGGAAAATGTTTTCTTTTTGTTTGTTTTATTTATTTTTTTTTTTTTTATTTTTTTTTTTTAGGATGCATTCCAAGACAAAGGCAGAAACAGTTCCTGGGTAAGGGCAATTTTTTTTTACATGTTACATTTGTTCAGATGTTAGGTACAGAAAATAAATTTAATTGATTGATGTAGTGAGACTCAGGGCAATTTATTTTGAAAGAAAGTCAATATGATAATTTCATAATATTCTATATAGTTTAATAAACAATTATATTTATGTGAAAAACTCAGTGTATCATTTTTCTTTAATTTTCTTTATTTAAAATATTTCTGAATATTAAAGAAAAAAGTACTTCTTTAGATGCCCTCATTATTATTTTTTTATTAATCACATTGTTCGAATAAATTTTTATAGTTTTTTTGAATCCTCACTTGTACAGGATGATACATCCTAGCTTTGTTGCTATTTGAGTAAATCTGAATTATTATTTATCTTTCTTTTAGCAGATTCTAGCACCTCATATGTTATAGCAATTTTTTTGCTATTTTTGTTTCAATATACATGTCTACAGATTTATTTTGCGTGATATTTGAAATGAGTAAAATGGGTTGAATTTGCAGCCCTAAAAATATATTTGCTGTTAGTATATATTATGGTTGGGATTCCTTATTTGCAAACAAAGAGCATTTGCTCATGGTATAAAGTATAATCCGGGGACAGAAGAGATAAACAACCACACTTATATTTAATAGGTAAAGTATTATTAAATAGAAATAAGAAGGATGTACCCAAGAGTATAATAACATATTCAAAATGACATTTTAAAAATGATTTAAAGAAAGGATGTATTGTATGTAATGCTATTAATGGTGGAAAGTGTCCAGGTTCTTGGCATCTTGAACAAAGAATTAGACAAAATGTACAAATAAAGCAAGGAAGGAATGAAGGGTTTTATTGAAAATGAAAGTACAGTCTGGGCACAGTAGCTCATTCCTGTAATTCCAGCACTTTGAGAGGCTAAGGTAGGCAGGTCTCCTGAGGTCAGGAGTCCAAGATCATCCTGGCCAACATGGAAAAACCCAGTCTCTATAAAAATTTTTTAAAAAGTTGGGCGTGGTGGCATATGCCTATCATCCCAGCTACTCAGGAGGCTGAGGTGGGAGAATTGCTCAAACCCAGGAGGTAGAGGTTGCCATGAGCTGAGATCATGCCATTGCACTCCTGCCTGGGTGACAGAACGAGACTCCGTCTTAAAAAATAAAAACTAAATAAAACTAAATAAAAATAAAAAGGAAAATGCACTCCACAGTGAGAGACCAGGCCTGACCATAGGGGCTCAAAGGCCCTGTTACACAGTTTTTGTGAGTTTAAATATCTTGTACTTGGGGTATTCCCTATATAAATGAAGAAGATGAAGTAAAGTTACCAAGTCATTTATGGCGTATACCCTATGGAGAGGATATTTCCTGTTACAGCTGAAGTGTGAATTGGCCTTTTGTTCCCTGTCTCCAGACCCTATTTTCCTGTCTTATATGTTCCCTGAGAGATATGATCCCCCTAAATCTTTATGGGAGGCAGAGGAACTGATGGTGTTTTCTTCTGTAACTGCTTCATGCTGGATGGGGCATAGTTCCTACCCATTAAGGAGCACAGAATTCTCAGCCTGTTCTGCCTAGTGGAGGCAGGGCAGGATGGCAGCTTCTTGATGGCTAGTGGTGGTGTCTTCACGTGGAACTGGCTGGAACTTTTGTTGCATGGTCAGCTGAAGCTTGATGGTTTCTAGGTGACAGGAAATTAATTTGGTTAAAATATTTGATGGGAACTTCAGGGGATGGATACCTATGCTGTGAGAAATTTCTGTTATAGAGATTTGCAGGAGAAAAAAAATCAAAACCTGTCCTTTCTAGAACCTATGTGTTTCCTTAAATTCTTAGCATGAGTGGGCTTCTCTCTCCTCAAGATGGCCGCTGAAGACGAGTTACTGCTGCGCGGCTCCCAGAGCTATTGGAAACCAGCAAACAGCTGCTGGATGAAGTAGAAGTAGCGACTGCACCTGCCGGTTCCCGGATAGTCCAGGAGAAGGTGTTCAAGCGCCTGGACCTCCTTGAGAAGGCTGCCGAAATGTTATCGCAGCTCGACTTATTCAGCCAAAATGAAGACTTGGAAGAGATTGGTCCCACCGACCTGAAGTACCTATTTGGTGCGAGCATTTCAAGGAGCCCTCACTATGAAATAAGTCAGCCCTAGCAAATGTCTAGATCATTTGCAGCGGGCTCAAGAACACTTTATAAACGACTTAACTGAGTGCCATTGCTATCATGTGGCAGAGTCTGAGCTGCCATTGCTATCATGTGGCAGAGTCTGAGCTGCCCAAAGCCAAGAACAGCTCAGGTGAAAATCACACTGCTAATTCCTCTATGGCTTATCCCAGCCTCGTTGCTATGGCATCTCAAAGACAGGCTAAAATAGAGAGACACAAGCAGAAGAAGGATTTGGAGCATAGGTTGTCTGCAGTGAAATCTGCTGTGGAAAGTGGTCAAGCAGATGATGAGCGTGTTCGTGAATATTATCTTCTTCACCTTCAAAGGTGGATTGATATCAGCTTAGAAGAGATTGAGAGCATTGACCAGGAAATAAAGATCCTGAGAGAAAGAAACTCTTCAAGAGAGGCAATAACTTCTAACGCATCTCGTCTGGAGAGGCCTCCAATGGAACCCTTCATTCTCACTAGGAACACGGCCCAAACCAAAGTATTTGGAGCTGGTTATCCAAGTCTGGCAACTATGACAGTGAGTAACTGGTATGAGCAACATCGGAAATACGGAGCATTACCAGATCAGAGAATAACCAAGAAAACACCAGAAGAAGAATTCAGAAAAGCAGCTCAGCAACGGGAAAATCAAGAAAAAAAGGAGGAAGACGATGATGAACAAACACTGTACAGAGCTCCGGAGTGGGATGACTGGAAGGACACCCATCCTAGGGGCTATGGCAACCGACAGAACATGGGCTGATCTTCCCACAACACCACAGGACTGCAGGGTGCACACCTCCCCTGCCAAGAAAAATCATGCAGTCCTCCCCTCCCTGGGCTCCGGCTTCAGCTAGGTACAACAAAGGCAAAGATGCTAAATCTTGCTTTGCATTCAATAAAGTGTCAAGTGATTAAGTGTGTATTTGTATCCTAGGTGATGTGAACCAGCAGTCTTGTTTTGGCATCATCATCCTCATCATGTTGTATTTTAATTTCTTAAGTAGAAAGAAAAGAGTGCTGAGAAATGGCTCTGTATAATCAATGGCTGTCTGAATTCTCTGAAAAAATAAAAGTTCCCTCTATTACATGAGAAAAAAAAATTCTTAGCATGAGTGACTCTATTTTGGTTTGATTTGATTTGATGGGGCCTAGTACATAAGCCTAGTCCGACACAATGTTCTCTCAGAATTGTGTTTAGAAAGGTGAGAGTGTGACCAAAACTTAAGGCCGTAGCACCACTATCAGTTACCATCATTTTGGGTTCCTGGTCTCAGCACGTCATGTCTGCAAAAGGATGCTGCAGACATTGAAGGAATTTGAAGTCTTCCTCAATTTCCTTCTCTTGACCAGACATCAGGATAAATATATTTTTCATCTGCCATAGTAAGTAAATTTAATGAGGTGAGAAATTCTTCTGGGCCAGCATGTAAGGCTATACCCAATTTTACCATTAAGTCTCTCCCTAACAGGTTAGTTCTAGCTTCGGGGATTAGTAGAAATTTAATGTAAGTAATTGATTTCTGTATCTGACTTCTGTGTCTTCTAACTTTTTGCCTTAAAAACCTCTCCCTTTACCCCTGTGAAAAACGGTTTTGTCTGAGGAGCAGAGGATGCTAGATGGAAGGAAACAAACAGAGGAAATGAGCTGCTCTAGAATCTGTTAAAAAGGTTACAACTTCATATTCAGGACACACCACTAAACTTATCAAGGGCTCTTGGTGGGACTTGAGATAAAAAGAGCAGAGCACCTGACCTTCCTATTCTTCTTCAAAGCCTGTAAGCGGAATGATTTATTTCTTTCTCCCATTCAGAACATTCTCTCTTAAATAACCTACTCCTCCACATTTGAAATATTTATTTTTTTCTTTTGCCCTCACTATTTTTGGGTTCCCTGGCTCTACCTCCTTATGCCCTTTGCCCAAGCAAATGGGGAATTAAATTCTATATGTGTCCTGGGCCCTTGGATACTTTGTTTAGATGTGTATGGGCCTCCGGGTGGTGGAAAGTAGTATCAGGGGGCCCTATTTTCTGAGACCCTCTGCAGGAAAGTAGAGGACATAATTTTTGCTTTTTGCTTTTTCTTTTCCTTATCTCTTCTTACATATACTTTTTGAGCTTCCCTTAGAAGTTCTCCTATGGGTTTATTTTTCCAATTCTCTATCTTTTGCAATTTTGGGGGGGAGATGTTTAGTCAGGTATTAGTAACAAAATAAAGCTTTAACATTCCTTGCCCTAGGGGATCATCCAAATCTAGGCTTGCATATTTTCTTATTTGTCCTTTTAATGTATCTAAGAATTCCATAGGTACTTCATCTTTCCCTCATTGTATATTGAATACTTGGGAAAGATTTTAGGTCCAGGGAACTCATTCACAAATCCATTTAATTATCATTTCCCTAAGGTCTTTCATATATTTCCTGTGAGCTGCATTGTTATTGTACCACTGAGGGTCTTGGGCCAAGAATTTTTGATCTGCTTCAGGAACGTTTTGGCCAGGAGGATATTCACATTCCCAGACTACTAAAGCAGCCCTGTGGATCATGCTTCTTTCTTCCCCTGAAAAGAGTATGCCCAGAATGGACATTAACTTGGCCTAAGTATATAGTTGTGGCTCCCAATATTGATCAGTTTGATCTGCTGCCCCATAAATGCTGGACGTCTTTAAATGTTGGACTTCTGAGCTGGTTAAGGGGGTATTTATGAAGCCTATGGCTCCTTTTCCAAGGGGCACTTTAATTAAGGGGAAGAGAATGGGGCTGATTTCTTAGAGGTTGTTCTAGCTCATGCTGGAGCTTTCCTAGGGGAGGCACATGCTCAAGCATGTGGCTAAGGGGAGCATGGGACATTCATTAAGGATTATATGAGGGAGGAACTGAGTGAGGAGACTCCTGTGTGCCCTCTAGGGGCAGGGGATTTGGCAGAGGCAGGTGGTCTAGTGGGTCCCAGATGTTAGTGGGCTGTTCAGGGGTAGAGACCTTACTCCTTTCAGAGGAGTTGATTTCTGGCTTTCCTCCTATACCTTTGAGGGGCTAAAGGAGAACAGGTCCCTGCTACCAACACAGGGTATAATCTATTTTCTCCTGGGAGATGGAACTCTTGTCATTGACATACTGTATTAAATGTTGACAAATTCAATCCTCACTCGACTGAAACTTTTGCCAGAAAACTGAAGGTTTAAGGATGGGTTCTTTGGTCCAAAGGAAACAAGAATATTTTATCATTTGCTGTTTTTATTCTTGTGTTTAGTCCTTTCATTATCCCTCCAATAATTTACGATGAGGCCTAGGGGACTGTCAGGGGGAATTTTACTATTTCTTTGGACTTTTTTTATCTCTTGCTTTACCTGGGGTATTTCCTATTTTGAAGGCTGCTGAGGCTCAATCCCTTGTATTAGGGATTTCTTGCTCTCTCCCCTTTAGAGGTTTGCTGAGGCTCAATCCCTCCTATTACAGATTTCTTCCTTCCCTTCTCTAGAAGCTTAACCCACCTACTGGATGTCTCTTCATGTCTTGACCAAGGATTACTTCACCTTACCCATGGCTTTTCTTACCTTGGTCTGTGCAGAGTTACCTGGTCATGGTGATGTCTATTTGTAGACATCACCTGCATTACTCAGAGTTTGGATTTATTCATCACGCCAGGTGGGTCTCAATCTCTTACCCCTCAGGACACCACAATGAGGCATTGGGATGTATCTCCTCACAATAGATGATCAAAGACCCTTCGCTGGAGGAGAATGGGATCCTGGGTGTGTCCCCATATTGCTAGAAATAAGGGCTCAGAGTTGTAAAGAAAATGAGCACTCAAACAAAAGATTTCTCAGCAAGGCAAATTTACTTCTACAAAAGGGTGCTGCTCACACTCCTAGCCAAGGTGAGAAAACATCAAGCAAAGGAAGGAAGGGGTTTTTAGCCCTAACACAGTTAGTCTCTACTTCTGTGTCCTGTCCCCATTGGCTAGAGTTGGACCACACAACCTAAGCTGACCTGATTGGCTACTGTTTAAAATTGAATAGGGCTAACTAGGCAGGAAGGGAGAGGCTGTCCATCACAGTACAAGTCATTTCCAGGCAGATTAGGGCACAGAAAAGGAGGGGAGGTTCGTTTCAGCTGGAAAGATCAGGTAGTTAAGGGTGATTAGGAGATTAGGATTGACGAGATAAGTTGTTTATGGGATGGGTAACTAGGAGTGGGAAAATACAAGGAAATTGACCTTAAGAACAAATAAGTTAAAAATTAAAACTTCGAAGAGGATCTTACTGTATCTGACCTTTGCTGACACATTTTGTACACAGAATTATGTGCTAACTAAAGTTTTTATTCTTAGTAACCTAAAACTTTAGTGAGACCCTAAAAAGGAAGAAATTCTGAACTATTACATATGGGCATTTGTAGATACGAACAATTCAAAAATTTTACAAATATATTTCCTCATATTACAACCTTTCTTAATTGAAAATGACCTATATATTCAATGAGCATTAAAAATAACTTTAAGATTTTAATTTACACAAAAAGTTTATCTAAAGTGTTTATCTCATTTACTGTACTTAACTTTTACTTTTAATAAGGCAGACATAAGATGTCTATCAATACATGTAAAACATACATTGGTGTGGTCCAGAAAGGTGGTACAACTCAAGGTAAGGAAGGGGCTTCGGGTCTTTTAGATCACAGGTGGGAGATAAACTGCTGCATTCTTTTGAGTTTCTGATTAGCCTTTCCAAAGGAAGCAAACAGGCATGCATTTATCTCAGTGAGACTTTGAATAGAATGTAAGGCAGGCTCTCTCCAGGTAACTCCCAGCTTTGGAATTAACATTAACATTTTAAAACATCTAGCAAAGACAAACATAAAATTTAAACAAAATATATGCTAACAATTCTGAAGACATTTCTGTTTTTATTACACCAATAGTTTTAAAGCTAGCTTGTTTAGTAAAGTTACACTTTAAGTCAGGTGAACTTGAAAATTGCTTATACCCATTTACTTAATATATGAGAGCTCTTTTACTTATAAGCCAATTCAGTAGACACAGCATATAACAAGTGTACATACAAATAGACACATCTAGATATGTCTACACACAGATAAATGAAGATCCAATAGCTTGGAACCTTAGCCTGAGATAGCAATACAAGCTTGCTGGTTTTACCTTGCCCCATTAGATTACGCAAGGAAGGCTGTGAAACAAAATTTCAGGTAAAGCAGTCTCCATGGCAGTTTGATTTTTAAAAGCTAAACCTCCCCAGACTGCAAGAAGCAGTGGGGCCAAACAGTACCGAAGGAGGGCATCACACATTAACCAGAACCCCTGCTTTTAACAAAAGCCTGAATACATGCAACAGCATCCTACTTTCCAATTAGACAGTAAACTTTAAATTCCAAACAGTTTTGGCATCAAGCAGCATTGCAACTACAAGAGAAAATTCTAAGGAGGTTAATATTAAACTTTAGAACCTCTGCCAAGAGCGTACTCTTTGGAGAGTTTGAGGTCTGCAGAACCCATGGAGTGTTCCCCTGTGGGATCCAATCTTAGAGCTCCAGATGTCTCTGGCCTTAGGGGTGCATACCACATGTAAGTTTCCCCTTCAAAGCATACTATGAGCTCTATAAGAATAGCCATAAACTGTGATGAGAATTGAATGCCATGTGAGTCTGTTGTTCCTTAGCTGGTTGAGTACAATAAGGGAAGAACTGATCATATGAAAAGATTTAAGTTGCCTGAAGCATGTGAGTTTGCTCCAAGCTGCACCACCTGCAAGTAGGGATCAGGGACTACCTGAAGAAAATATTTAAAAAATATTCTTATCCCTTCAGAGCAGGGCAATTATTTCCATTCATTCCTTAGGCCTTCAGTCAATACTTGGGAGTGACTGCAGCCAATTGCCCTTAATTTCCAAGGAGATACTAGGAAACAGCCACCGTAAGACTGAAAAAGAAAGAGAGGGAAAAACAAAAATGAAAAAAGATGCAGATTCCTTAAGCGAACTGGGCAGTGCCAGTTAGGCTTCTCCACATGGTAACCCCTTAGTTTCATTGGCCGTGGCCAGAAACCTGCAGTTGCTTCCATGTTTAGGCACTGTCC